CTGTAAAAGACACAGTCCTTACCTTCCAATCTTACGCTCTTGCTCAGGTTGGTTTCGAACTCCTGAGCTCAAACAATCCGCCTGCCTCGGCCTCCCAGAGAGCTATGATTACAGACGTGAGCCACCGTGCCCGGCCTAGAAGGTATAAACCTTTTTTCACGAGCTAAAAAAAAATCATAATACGAATTACAAACTATGTAGATCTGAACACCACCAAGTGATGATAAACAGCAACATTTTTGTCTAGGTCCACGTAGGAACATGCTCAGCCTCCAATGCATATATTAGAAAATAAAAAAGAATGAAGGTAGGATAAAACCAACAAGTTATCCCATCCAAAACAGAAGAAATAATAAAGGTAAAAATAGAAATTAATGAAAAAGAAAATTAAGAAATAAGAGAATCAACAAACTGAAGTCTGTTTTTTTTTTTTTAAAAGACTAACTGCTGATAAGACTGGATGAGAAAGAGAACACAGGTATAAATAACTGTAGATCTAACAGAAAGTAAAAACAAAACTACTCTAATTTGATTCTTTCAATAAGAAATGAAAAAACTTACTACTTCATCATTGCCTGGCCATTTAACCAGAACCTCAAATTCCAGCTCAGCTGATGACCACAGAGAAACAACAACCTCAGCACAAATTTCTGTGCAATCCCTAGCAGTGTGTGGCCAATGACTTGGAATCCATGGAAGCTAAGATCCAGGCCACACTGCCCCATTCTAGTGTAAAAGGCAGAGGAGGTAATCAGCTTTTCAGAACAACCTCGCCTTGAGGTGCGAGCCAATCACATTACAAAAATAATCCTAATCTAAAAATTGGGAAACAGATGGCTTCAGCTCACATATAAAAATTATTCCCAGTTCTGGCACTCCAAAAAAAAAAAAAAACCAAAAAAAAAAGCTTATTCTTTTGGTCAACCAAAGCAAGTGTTCAGTCTCAGTTCCCAAAACTCCCCACAAACCTTCTTCAGAAATGCTAATGGTTTTTGAAGCTAATGGTTTTTCAAATTCAGGGCCAGAAGACAATTCAATGTGATCTGCTCGTCCAACCTGTAGAAAAAACACATACAACAAAACAACTGTAATAAACAGATAATTTCAAAATAGCTTAAATAATTTTATATAAGTTTTAAACATTTGCATTAATGCAACATAAATGAAAGAAATGGGATTAAATCCAATATGAGCTAAATGGTAGGGATTGATAAGAGGAAATTTTTACTTAATTGATTTAAACTTTAATTGTAGCTTAATTGATTTAATCTTTTAAGAGGCTCAGGAAAATAGCATCATATAAATTTAGAATGGGGAGGAACCTTAACTACTATCTAGACAAAATCTTTCATATTAAAGATGAGGGAACAAGGCCCAGCGAGATTCAGTGACTTGCTTAGTGGCCTAACATGGATTTCAACCCAGGTTTTCAAGGCTTCTGGTCAGTGCTTGTCCACAGTATCCCTCTGCCTCTTCCGGGCCTACAAGCTGTTTTCTTAGGCAAGTCAAAATGTTTGTATTTATGTGTACATTATAACAGGATAAGAGTATTTTAAAAAAATATACCAAACCTATCATTTAAATTAATACCATTTCCTCCAAAGTAGTCATCTGGGAAGACTAAATGCCCTCCTAATACCCAGGGGATAAGTTCTAAGACCCCCAGTGGATGCCTGAAATCACAGATAGTACTATATGCAGTAGTCTCTCAGCATCTGCAGGGGATTGGTTCCAGGACCCCTGTGGATACCAAAATCCACAGATGCTCAAGTCCCTTACATACAACAGCATAGTATTCGCCTGCAACCTATGCACATTGTTTCATAAATCACTGCTAGATTATTTATGATACCTAATACAATGTAAATGTATGCAAATAGTTGTCATACTGTATTGTTTAGGGAATAATGATAAGAAAAAAAATGTACATGTTCAGTACAGATGCAACTATCCTTTTCTCTTTTCTGAGTATTTTTGATCCACAGTTGCTTGAATCCATGAATGTAAAACCCACAGGTACAAAAGGCTGAGTGGATACTATGATTTTTCCTATGCATACATACCTATGATAAAGTTTATAAATTAGATGCAATAAGAGATTAACAATAATAAAATGGAACAATTTTAACAATATAATGTAATAAAAGTTATGTGAATGTGGTCTTTCTCTCTCTCAAAATATCTTATAAATATCACCAGGTGTGGTGGCTCACACCTGTAATCCCAGCATTTTGGGAGGCCGACGCAGGAGGATTGCTTGAGCCCAGGAGTTGAGACTAGCCTAGGCAACATAGCAACACCCCACTCTACAAAAAATAAAAAAATTAGCCGGGTATGGTGGCGTACACTATACAGTTCTAACTACTTAGAAGGCTGAGGTGAGAAAATTGCTTGAGTCCAGGAGTTCAAGGCTACAGTGAGCTATGGTTGTGCCACTGCACTCCAGCCAGGCTGACAGAGTGAGATCTTTTCTCTTTTAAAAAACAAGAACAAACAAACAAAAAACCCTTATTGTACTGTACAGAGGGTGACTGAAACCTTGGAAAACAAAACTTTGGATAAGAGGGGACTACTGTACTTATGTACTTTGAGCAAATGTTTTTAGAATTCTTCCTTTGAAACTGCCCCTCAAGTTTGTGCCATAATTATTAATTAATCATTCTAGTGCTAAATCTTCAGTATATAAATGTGATTTTATCACTGTCAGAATCCAAAAATAAGAGAGCAAAGGCAACTGTTAAACATTTACCAAATGCTGTACCATGTGCTGTAAAAGACACAGTCCTTACCTTCCAATCTTAAAAGGCCTGGGCTGAGACGGGAGCTCTATCAGAATTTTGGGGAACTTTGAAAATGCCAAGCCACCTCTGCCTCCCCCACAGATTCAGCGGGGCTAGCATGTATATTCTGAAAAAGCATCCTGGGTGATCATGATATGCACAGCTTTCTAATTGTCTAATGGACCCAGATTTGTGGAAATTCCTTCTTGAAACTCCTCCTTTGGCTGGCTTTCTCCTGAGACTCTTACTAGCTCAGACTGATTGTCCTCAAGCCTTGTTGAATCCTCATCCTTATAAGGCAGTCTGCCTGCAGGATTCTCTCCTTTACCCTCTTCTTTTCTCACTGTGTGTTCTCTCTGGGTGAGTGCCTGTGCTATTATGATTTGAGTTCCTCCCAAATGATGACTCCAAGATCTGTACCTTCAGCCCAGACCTAGCTCCTCAGTTCCAGAAGCAGATATCCAACTGCCCACTAATCCCAAAGTACCTCGAATTTAACATGTCCCTGATAGAAATCATTGTGCCTCCCTCCCCGAACACACGTACATTCACGTGCACACATACAGACACATTTCCTCTTCCTTAGTTTGGAAAACAGCTCCACCACTCTCCCAGGCTAGAATCTGGACACCACCGTGAATCTGTGTTGTCTTCTTCAACTTCCCACAGACTGTCAATCTCTGTGTCTTGTTATAACCTTCCCTCCATTCCTACTGCTAAAGTTCAGGCATGTGATAATTTCTTGCCTTGGGTATGCAGTGGACCTCATATAGAGCCAGCAGCATAAGAATCATTTATGAAGCTTGCTAATAATACAGATTACTGGGCTCTACTCCAGAACCACTTAAAATCAGAATTTCAGTGAAATGGGGTGTAGGAGTTTTCATTTCCAACAAGTTTCCAAGACAGTTCTAATGAGCAGCCAGATTTGGAGATCCACATGGTCTTCCTGTTCCCAGTCTTATCCTTTCCAATGTACTCTCCACAATGTGCCAGCATGTCTGATCATATCCCTTCACTGCTTTTATTCTTTATTGGTTTCCTACCGGCTGCTGGTGGTATAAAATCCCAATAGCTTGGCATGGCAACAATACCTTCCATCCTTCCTTATCTGCCCCCTACCTACCTTGACTGCCAGATATCTTAAAGCCCAGTCCCACCAACTTCCCTCCCATGTAATGCTGACAGAGTTCCACAAACACTCTATGCCATTGGGCACCTTTCTGCTTTTGCTCACAATGTTCTGTCAACCCTTCCTTAACTGACTGACGAATATCAATTCATTACCAGCTCAAGAGCCACCTCTATACAGCCTTCTCTGATGCCACAACTTTACTTACCCCATCCAGTAACAGGCCAGGTGTACTTATGTGTCCTTACCGCACCTGGTACGTGTGTATTTATTGGTGTATACATGTACCTTCTTTTATTAGATTCTAAGCTCCTTGAGAGTAGGTACTATGCCTTATTTATCTTTCTCTTCCCAGAACTTAGCACGGGGCCTAATATGCAGTAGATGCTCAGTAAATATTTGCTGTAGGAATGAATGATTCATGGACTCTTGTGAGAGTGAGCAAGCCAGGATCAAGACGACATTTAGGTATAAGTAACTATCTGGCTTAGACATGCTTACTTACTAAACTAGCTCAGGAGGCAATTTCAAGAGGTTCTTTGAAGTAAGAGTTCCAAGAACTACTGATCATTCATTTAAATGTGATAGATCTAAGTTTGGGTTAAAAAACAAAAAGCAAAACCACCAAATAAACACCATAATATCATTACTTAATAGTAGTCCTATCTTGAATTTTCTCAGTGTAGTATCACTTATGCTTAGTCTTAACTTTTTAATATGTGTTAACTGTTTGAATCAAAGACATACTATAAACTTAATAAATACATTTTTTTAAATGTCAACATGCTAGCATTCTGGAATATTTGTCAGGTAAGCTAATAATGGAATTCTTATCCTGCAGACTAATTTGCATTTCCTATTATTCGACTTTAACATATTTAACATATTTTTACTATTTATTCTTTAATCCTTATTATATAAATTTTTCTTCCTTAACAAAAGGACAAAATATTTGTTCAAAATAATTAATTTTTGAGCCTTTCCTATTTTATCTACCATTATATAAAAACATTAAATTTATTATGAATAATTTTTAAAGATACAGAAAATTTGTAAGGAATTGATTACTAGTCCTCTGATATAAAATATTTAAAAGAAACTGAGAATTCCAAAGTTAAGGACAATAATATTTGTAAAGTCATAAAAATCTTTCCGAAGAAAATGACACTCAATTACAGGCAGGGTTTCTTCAAAACCACATTCTGGTTTTGCAATTAATTTCTTTCTTTTCCTAGTAGAAAGCATGGGTTTACCTCTTAAAAGCTTAAGGCAGTGGTTCTCAACTAGGGGTGATTTTGGCTCCCAGGGGACATATGGCAGTGTGTGAAGACATTTTTGATTGTTACAATGGGGGAGGGGGGTGTGCTACTGGAAGCCAGTGAGTAAAGAGCAGGGATGCTGCCAAACATCCCACAAAGCATGGGACTGCCCTAACAACAAAGAATCATCCAGCCCAAATGTCAACACTGCTAAGGTTGAGAAATTCTAGTTTAAAGAAACCAAATTTCCCATTACTTTGAAAAATCAAATGTCTAAACTTGTATCACAATACAAATCTAATAACTCACCAACAAAAAGCCAAAAATAAAGAGCATCTACCTTATCACAATGCAGATATAGCCTTTCAGGCCTGGGGAAATCCTGCTCTATATTTTCAGCAATGTTCTGTATTGCTAACAGCTGTTCATCAATTTTCTGAAGCTTAGAGGTGAGATGCTCTAGTCGGCGAGCTGCAGGGCTTGGTGCAGGGCAAGCGGCAGAGACGTCCTGCAGCAGTTTCCACAACGGGTAATCTTCTGCCGAGTCTGACCTTGTTCTCTCTTCTTTGAATTGGAACTCTGGTTTCAGCAGATCTAAATATTAAGAAAAGTAAAATCAGAATATAATTAAAGGAAAGGTATATACTGATGATCTCTTTTTTTTGGTAACTTCATTTTAAGCCAACATAACATTACTTTCCAAATCAGTTTTAATATACTTAAAAATTCCTTTCAGCTTCTTGACTTATGAGATATGTCTCTGTTGTGAGATAAGAATACATAAACAATATTACTATCACAAAGTTCCACATACAAGGCAGTTTGAATCTTACTTTTATCCTCAGCTACAAACATATAATTCATCAAAAAGTAACTTCAATATTTTTATGACTTTTTGAAAACCTACTTGAAAACCAACATCATACAGTAAAAGCTAGGCCCAATATTGGCGATTACTGACTTTATGTGGCATCTCAGGCAAACATTAAACCTTCCAAGACCAATATCTAAGCCAATGACTCTTCCTACTCTTAAACTCAGTTGATTCTTGTCCCAAATTTGAGATATCTTCTATTTTAAATGCACTCTTCATCTGGTGGCTGGGTCTCCTCCTCCCTGTGTTGCTCATCCTTCTTAGTTTTCTCTTCTGCTACTCACTCCTTTTACCCATCAGGGTTTCCTGGGCTGCCAGCCTCAGCCCCCTTCTCTACTCTTCCCATTCTCTCTGAGTGATGTCACCGACTCACAGATGACTCTAAATCCACAGAGCACTCTTTCTGAGCTTCAGCTCCTTATGTCCTGGACATCCCAGTTAGGCTGTCCCAATCAGCATATGAAACTCATTGCTGCTGCCTCTCTAACTTGCTTCCTCTTCCTTGTTCCTAAGCTCAGTGAACAGCACTCCCATTCACTCAGTTTCCCAAAACAGAGGCCTCAAAGTCACTCAAGGTTCCTCTCTTTCCTTCAGATCCAAAATGACAACAAGTATGGTGAGTCTACCTCTTAAACACTTCCATTCCTAACATCACTGCTTAGCTAAGGCTTTCACAATAGACAGATCCCAAATAGTATCCCTAATTTCTCTCTCTCTTGTCTAGTCCATCTTCCACACAGGCCTGGAGAGATCTTTTAAAAACACAGATTTGATATTGTTCCTTTTCTGCCCCAAACCCTTAAGGGTGTTTCTAATGCCATCACCTTAAAAATCCAAATGCCTCAGTTTGACAATGGAACACATAATCTTTCCTTTGCCTATCTCTCTGGCTTCATTTCTTGCTATCTTTATAAAAACAAAAAAACCCCACTCTGTTTGACTTCAAGTGTACTGAACTTTAATTTTCTCAAACTAAGCAGGCTCCATCAAACTCTCAGTCACTGCACAATTTATTATCTCACTTTGAATTTCCTTTCTCTTTGCTAAATCCTGCTTTCCTTTAAGATTCCATTTAGGTGTCTCTCCCCTAAATGGCCTCAATCCTGCCCTAAAATGGGTTAGACTAGATGTTGCATCACCCAAGAATCTCATCCACATCACCACTGCAGAGCTTACCAAGCTGTGTCATAATCATCTCTTCATCCGTCTGTCTTCCTTTCCCCTACAGGCACGCCCGCAGGCTGAGCACCTGGTGTTCCTCTCCTCCTAGCCCCAGTATCTTCTCCTTAACTTGGTGCTTATTGAATGAAGAATCAGTCAAATGAAGATTATGATGCCTGCCCTACCTAACTCAGACAAGTTTTGTGAGGATTGAATTATGCAACAAAGTACTCTGAAAAATGTGAATTACTAAACAAACAGAAATAGTGCTTGTTATATTTCAGTCCCAGTCTAAGGTGAACCTTACCATGAGAAGACAGCAGTAAATGCAATGCTGGCAACGGCAGTTATGCAGTCTTTCCCGACCTGTTTTGGCCCTACTTGTTTTAGCTTGGCTCTCTCAGTACTTTACCATCTATATATGATTCCTGTTTCTCAGCAGCCTGAAGCATCTCCCTTACTCACTCTCAGGAAAGAATTTGGTGCACACAAACTTCGAGTAGAAAATACAACAAAAGAGATGGACGTATTCAAAATCCAGAATGGCCTCAATACATAATGAAATTAGCTTCCCTTTCTCCAGAGAACCTGCTCCACTTCCATTGACTAACAGAAGAAATCACTCACCCAGGAGGTGGGTGGGTGACTGACTGCCACTGACCCTGCTATGCCCTTCCTGGGCCCAGCGAAACTCTGCTTGCTGTTCCTGATGCTGTTCATAATGGGAGATGGTTTCCAAAGAAAGAAGCTACTGTCATTCAAAATGGTGAGCAGGTCTTATTAAAACAGGAATTTATTGTTTCATTTTTTGTCTTAAATACCTGTGACCCTGTCCCTCCCTTCTCCCAGCCTTTCCTGTAATGCAAATCCTACTCAATACTAATGTGTGTGACTAAATTCTGAGTCTTTAAGGCATACCATGTAAATATCATGATGGAATTTAATTTCAAAATATAAAACTTTTCCTTTAAAATTGGCATTTTAAACTTCTTGTCTTTAATAAGAGTAGAAGGGTCCACTGACATATCTGTGCAACCAGGCACTTTCCCTAAGGAAGGATCCTTCAAAAGGTTAATTATAGACCTGATCTCACTGATAAAGGAAATTAACCTGTAGCTTATGGTCATTTGAAATGCTGGCATAAGATAATCAGGGGTCACAGAGAGATGGGTCTGCTTCCAGTCTTCTAGAACTTCAAAAGTTGATTGCTATTAACATGAAGGGAAACTAGCAGGATACCTAAGCAGCCACAGGCATTTGGCTAGATATACCTCATGACAACCCATGAGGCTGAGTCCCACAGAGATACAAGTGAGGATCAGATAAAGTTAATTTATTTGCAAACAAGCTATTAAGTGACAGAGCTGGGATTGAAATCCAGGTCTGTTCTATTTGAATCTAAAAGTCAAGTTTTTTTCACATTCCCCACACACATCCCCAGCCTACAAGACTGCTAGCTTCATACACCCTCCTCCATTACCTATGCACCTTAGCAGCCCCATGACAGGAGAGACAGCACAAAGGCTTCAAAATCTGAAATGCTGGCACTTGTCTGTATACGCAGCTGTAATACACACGTCCTAACAAATCCCTGCCACTCATCCCTTCCTTGCTCCTCACATCTCCTGAGTGCCCACCATTGATACACAATAATCAGGCAGAGCTAGACCCTGCATGCAAGCATCTCACAACCACAAAGTTGGCTGGGTCCACGCCTCCCAACAGCTGTGGAACTCAAAAGAGACACAAGGTCTCTGTTGCAGGAAGTCTGATTACATAGTGGATTAATTTAATCATTCACAGGATGTAATAACTTCAGGTTGGGGAGAAATAGTCTGAATCTTGCAAAAAGTTACAATAATACAACCTGATTTATGACTATAAAACTGAATATTTTACTAGTAAAGTATGGTTGGCTATCATGCCTTTGTATTTTCTATATGCTATTCTGAAATTTCCCATCTTTTTAAACATGAGAATTCCTTTTCAACATCAAAACACTCATGAACAGGATATTTATTTTTAGCCTCATGAATTGAGAAAAGACATATGTACAAATAGTCTCCTTGCAAAATATTCATGGGTCCCAGCTTTGGAACCATGGCTCAACCTCATTTACCTACCTGCCCCCACTCTCCTTAGCAAGGGACAAGCCTTTTTATGGTTTCTTTTACAATGACCATGTTTTGTTTGTTTGTTTGAGACAAGGTCTCGCTCTATTGCCTGAGTTAGAGTGTAGTGGCATCACCATAGCTCACTGCAGCCTCGAACTCCTGGCTCAAGCGATTCTCCTGCCTTAGCCTCCTGAGTAGCTGGGCCTATAGGCACAAGCCACTATGCCCGGCTAATTTTTCTATTTTTGTAGAGACAGGGTCTCGATATTGCCCAGACTGGTCTCAAACTCCTGGCCTCAAGCAATCCTCCCACCTCAGCCTCCCAGAGTGCTAGAATTACAGGTGTGAGCCACCATGGCCAGCCCAATTACCATGTTTTAGTCCTTGTTTCTAATATGACAGTAATTCAGGAGAAGGTCATGCTATACATCTTGCCCATTCACCTTTGTCCTGCTGTATGTCTGATGGTGTTGGTGAGGTGACACCAGGCTCCTTCACAGCTGTAATGCCTGCTCTCCAGCTTTTTCCATCCAGACAGGCTGGAGTCACTTTTGCAGGTTTAGAAAATAAATCCAAAGCAGAACTGGCAGATTCTATCAACAATAGGAAAGGCATACAAAGATTGATTCTAAACATCTAAATAAGGTAATTAGAAGATTAATAGAACATTTCTAAATGTGGATATAAACATCTAAAAGTACAGTGGGTTTGTAGGAGGAGAGCTAAGAGATGTGAGAAGGGACAACAATGCTATATTTAAACAATTTTTCAAAATGTGTTCATTTTAAAAGTAGGAAAAAATTATCACCTTGACTCTTAAAATTGTGTGGAGGAAAAGCATTAGTAACTGAAGCTGCCATATAATGTAACTCTGCAGACGATGGAACCACTGGACGATCACTTTGCTGTTTGATAGCGGAATCGTTTGAAGGCTCTTCTCTGACAGGCAATTCCTGTAGATCATCAGCTTCAATGTCAATCACATTTATATAAGTATGTCCAACCTGAGCCAAAACACACAAAATCAAAAAAGGATATGTTCTTTTTACTCTATGGGGTCACACTGCCAAAAACAAAAGTTCAGTGCTTTTTTCATTATTAACAAGGCAAGAAGAGCTTGTATGTGTCTAACTTAGAGAAGGCTGCAGGAAGTGTATGTTATTGGTCTTAGTTTACAATATTCAGGGGCATAATACTTGAATTAATTTTTTGACCTTTCCTACCAAGCTACATAAATCAGATTTTTAGCCTCATTTCACTTACACAATTAAATAATGCCAGAAAGGCCATAATAAATTTTAGCACAAACGTATTATTAAAATTTCTGAATAAGACACAAACCAAATTTGTTACTGCATGAGGTGTTGAAGGTGACAAAGGTTTATCTGATATTTCAGTGGAAAGCTTGAGATTTAGATATACATCTGGATCCAACAGCTGAGGAACATTCAAAGGTTCATGTTCTGAAAATTAAGGAAGTAAAAATCAGAAACATAAAAATGTCTGTAAATAGCTCTAAATCATTAATTTTGTATGAACAAGTTAGCAACAAACAACATAAAATGTATTTCATGAAAATCTAAGTAGAAGTGTCATCGGTATAAATAAAATTAAAGCAAATTCTATTTTAAGGGCAATTTAGAGTAACTCATCATTGAATGCAGGCTGACTATAGCTTTTTTCATATCAATGATTCACAAGAACAATAATAAAATATCTGTATGTCAAGAAAATGCTATAATCTCCTATTTCCATTTCAGATATGTTAAGTCATGTTCGTCTCCTTTATTTAGGAGAATTTCAGTCAAGTCAGATTTTAGGAAATTAACCTATCACTAATTTTTTTTACCTTTCAATAGTTTCCTAATGTTTATTTGTATTAACAGCTTTATTGAGATAAATTCATACTTTTCAAAGGGTACCATTCAATGGCTTATAGTATACTCACAGAGCCCACAGGTAAATTTTACCACCTAAAATGTTTTACTAATAATATCTAAATTTCACAAAAGTTGTTTGCTTCTTATTAAATAGTAAAATAAACAGGCCTGTCACAGTAGGTAAGCAGACAGTTTAACTCTGTACCTTTTGTCCTAGGACTCTATTCTTATTTTCTAGCATTTTATTTTTATAAAGCATTATTCTCAAATTTCATATGTAAAATATAACTAACTCATTGTCATACTGAGTACTGAAAGGCTGCTACCAAGTACTGCATTTAAACTACAGGTTAATCAAAAAACTAGAAAAAAGGAAAATGAAAATACTTAAGTCATTGTTCTATCTCTAGAGTCAAATGATTGTTTTAACTGCTTTTTTATGGGGGATAGTGACTCCAGCTTTGGCATCATGCAGACATAATCTTTAATAAGTCAAACTGTTCTCAGGCAAAAAAATAAAGAAATCACACCTGTTGTGCAAGAAATGATTTGTTGATTTTTACCACATTCAGAAACACCTTCTTGAGAAGCAGCTTCCTTATCTTGTACTACATTAGGAAATTTAAGGCAAAAAGAGAAAATAGACAACAAATTTCACAAACACAAGAAAAAACACAAGAAATATTAAAAATAAATTAAAATTAAATATATGAATGCACATAATTAGATATAGTGCATAAAGGATGGTAGGTAGAAAATAGATTGACAGCTTAACAATTTCATTTTCAAATAACTAATTAATTTCAGATTGTATTATTTATATCCTGGGTCTTCGCTAGATGAATAATAGACCCCTAGCAAATAACCCCACCAACTTTAGAAAACTATCCAGCAGCAAAGGCAAAGCACCTTCAAGGCTTTCTCAAAGACAAGCTGAGATTATGAACATTTAAGAATGTTTATCAGATGCACACTCATCATTTGCATCAAAAATATCTTATACATGCTCGACCTCAATTAGAAAGAAATATAAATTAAAATAATGGCTTTTTTTTCGACCTATCACATTGGCAAAGTCAAAAAAGTTGAGCTAAATCACAGTAATGACCAAAAAGGCTCTTATGCAGGAAGATACTCATTGAAGCATTATTTACAGGAGGAAAAAAACTGGAAACTGCCTAATGCAGTCAACAATAAGGAATTGGTTAAATATTTTATGGCACAGCTGGACGAAGGAATATACCAACACAGTACTTTTTGATGACATAGGAAATGGTTGACATAAGTAGAAATCAAAGTGAAACAAACAGGATACAAAATACAGATATCCCTTGTTATCCAAATCTAATCCACTCCCACAAATGCGCTGGATACTGAATTTTCTGATTCCAGTAGACTTTATTACATTATTTCAAATGGGGAAAAAAAGGTGTCCCAGCCTGTCCAATTTTCCTAAACATCATTAAACAACTCTTAAACACCTAAAAATAATCCATCAATGACTACTACATAATACAAATCATTTTAAATATCACTTTTTAATTAACATTTAATTCATTTTGCATGCAATATGTAGTAATACTGAACATAGATATTAACACTGCAGAAGACAGGTATTAACGCTATGAAGCAAATCATCAAGGAAATAATATGTTAAAGATACACTCTAATTTGAGAATGTCCCAAGGTACTTGAAAAAAAACACAGGGACTCATGAGGTTGTTAAACTCTCAGGGAAAAGCTAGGGAAGCTAGCAATATCTGTATGATGCGAGTTCAGATAGTAAGGAAGGACACAACTGTCCTATATAGTGTATCTAAGTAAAATGTACAAAAGATGACCAAAAGAAAAAATAACATCAAAATGTTATCGTTAAGTGGTGCAATTGTGGTTAATTTTCTTCTTCACAGCTTGCTATATTATCCAAATAGCCTACAATGGTCATATATTATTTCTAAAATAATGCCAATAAATATTATTTTACAATAAGATAAAATTAGAGAGAGTTTAAAAAAGTACTTACAAGGTTCTGAACATAGTTAAATGAAACTGTTTACTATTAATAAAAGTCATAAAAAAGAATTACTACGATACAATTGGCAGAATACTATTCAAGATAATGTTCACAGGCTGGGTGCAGGGGCTCACGCCTGTAATCCTAGCACTCTGGGAGGCTGAGGCAGGAGGATTGCTTGAGCTCAGGAATTTGAGACCAGCCTGAGCAAGAGCAAGACACGTCTCTACAAAAACTAGAAAAATTAGCCAGGCATAACAGCATGCGCCTGTAGTCCCAGCTACTCAGGAGGCTGAGGCAGAAGGATCCTTTGAGCTCAGGAGCTTGAGGTTGTAGTGAGCTATATGATGTCACTGCACTCTAACCAGGGCAACGCAGCGAGACACTGTCTCAAAAAACAAAACAAAACAAAACAAAACCCAAAAAGATACTGTTCACAATGCTAAGCTCCATTAATAAGGAAGTTGGTCAGGCAACATTTCAAATAATAGATCTTCCAACACTTATTTCTTCTACTTTTGAACACAGTTACATAGCCCTCCCACACTAAACCCAATCCAGTCCTCTTCCTAGTTCAACTTCACCAGCCACAGTGCCAGGCCTCTCAATTTTAGGCATGCAATTCCAGTGAAGGTCATTAATGGCATAGAGAATCCAAATTCAAAAAATTATTTCTACTTACTTGGGATATAGCCCACGGTAGTTTTGAACAAAAATATCTATTATGTTTTACTTAAGTTATCACAAATTCAATTTCTAAAGTATATACCAAGGTTAAGGAGAAAAACCTGGGATGAGTCACTAATATCACATAATTTAAAATTCTCTTTAAATCACTGCCTTAGAGAAAAAGTCTAGATATCTTAAATATGTCCAAATATATGAGTTTTTTAAAAAAGAAAAACAGCATTTTACCTGGGTCTGTATTTGTACTTGCATCCTGACTTCCTATAGCGTTCTTTTTTATAGAGGCCATGAAATGCAATCCAGCCGAAGTATTAAGGTCATCTTGTAGCATTTCTTAAATATAATGTAACATTGGAAGTGATCACTGAGAAGCAAACATACTGCTGGGATCCCAGAAACACAGTACCTAACTCAAGGGAGGTGAAATATGGGGTGTTAGGATGTTACCAAGATGGACTTTCTTCTGCATGAGGTGGTATATAAATTGAATCTCAAAGACATGGTAGAATCAAAACCAAAATTGTGGAGGGCTCTGGATGCCCAGCCTATAAATCTAGATATTCTTCTGGCTAATGAAGACCCAACAGAAACTGTTAAGTGGGGAAGTGATATGGTCAGATTGATGCTCTAGAAAAACCACCCAGCCAGTGTGTGGAAAATGGATTTGAGTAGACAAAACTGAAGCAAGGCAATCAGTTAGATGAGGCTACTGCAGCGGTTTAAGTAAGTACCTAGCAGTGATGAGGGAAGGAGGAAAGAGGATAAATTTAAGAATTACAAAGGCAAAATAGGCAAGAACTGGTTGGTTATTGATTAGACGAGAGGAAGAGAGGGAAGGCAGAATTCAGAATAACACAACGGAGACAGAGAACATAGGAGAAAACAATCAGTTGGGCAGGGTAGAGATAATGAATTCAGACTTCACATTCTGTATCTGAGGTAATTTCTACCCAAGTAGAAAGGCAGAAAGGAGAATCAAAGCCCAAAGTCTATTATGGGAGTTTGGGTTTAGATGTGGATTTTCCTGGGAGATCACCCAGGAAGACTAGGTTGAATAAGACAGTATCAGTGAAGGCATACTGTGGTATAATTAACAATATACATATTTGGTCTTTGTACCCAGTTCCCAGCCCAGAGTTCCTTAGACCCCTGGAATTTCCTGAGTGACAGAAGTGTCTTTTGTTATGCATAATGATCCCCTTTTGAGCATACCTAAGTTTATGCCAATGAGGTGACTTTTGTCAGGTCCCTAGATAGCTTCAAGATGGGGCCTGGTCACCAGAGGAACCAACCACACGATTAGAGAATGATAACTATAAGCCTCCAACTCACCCACACTACTCCCACCCCTGGGGAAGGGAGAGGGCTAGAGATTGAGTTAACCACAATGGCCAATGATTTAATCAGTCATACCTATGCACTGAAACTTCAATAAAAATTCTAAAAAAGCAGGCTAAGGGGGATTCCAGGTTGGTGACTACCTGTATGCACCAGGAGAATGGCCTGCCCAGAGAGGGCATGGAAGCTCTGTGCTGCCTCTCCCTCCCCTACCATCTTGCCCTATGCATCTCTTCCATTTGGCTATTCCTGAGTTGTATCCTTTATAATAAAACTGTAATGGTAAGTAAAGCATTTTCCCAAGTTCTGAGTTGTTCGAGTCAATTATTGAACCTGAGTTGGGAGGGCAGATCAAAGGAATCCCCAAATCTGTAGTCAGCTGGGCAGAAATGCAAGTAGCCTGGAAATCCTGTTTGAAGCTGGAATCTAAGTGGAACAGTCTTGTGGGACTAAGTCCTTAACCTGTGGAATCTATGCTAATTCCAGGTAATTAGTATCAGAATTAAACAAAATTGTAGGACATCCAGTTGGTGTTGGAGAATTGTTGTCATTGGGGATGGTACAAGACACATCCATTGGAATACTATGCTGTCACTAAAAATAACATCACAGAAGAATATCTATGATATGGGAACATTCTAATTTTAGTATGTAAAAACAGGTTAAGTTATAAAAAAATGCAGGAG